GGGGGGGGGAGAGACTGTTCAGTTCTATTATTATCTTCTCCCAAGAGGACCGGCGGTGTTGTTGTCCACATTCCTCCGACCGCCTGTTACACAAACCCGACCAGGCGAGAGAAGACGCCGATCAGCAGAAACAGGCGAAGGGCGACAATCGAACATATCTCGACAGGGGGCACAACTGAGCATTGCCTGACCAGCCATTCATCACAACGAACAAGGACAGCCTTTCATAACCCAGGCTTAAGGGTCTTTTCCAGGCGCCCCAGATCACACCGTCAACTCTACAGACTTACTACTCCACCAAACGCTAGATGATCTTACGCCGGACTATGATTTCCTCGACCATTCCCTTCCATGTTGCAGTACCAACAACTAGATTTAGTTTTGCCGTTGTCATGGTGCTGACATTAATGCAGCATATAAAATAATATAATTCCGTGCGTGTCTATCGATGTCACTATGGCAGCTATAGTAGCTATTAAAATCTTGCTTTTCCTGAGAAGCAACATCTGTCAATGGTATCATATCAAGTTACTATAATTCTCCCGGTTTTTTTTACCTCCGCCTTTTCTTCTTCCTCATCCACCCCCTACTCCTCTTCTTACTTCTTCTTCTTCTCCTCCTCCACCACCTCATCCTTCTCCTCCTCCTCTTCTTCTTCTTCTTCTTCTTCTTCTTCTTCTTCTTCTTCTTCTTCTTCTTCTTCTTCTTCTTCTTCTTCTTCTTCTTTGTACCGGCAGCTGGTCGTGACGGTGGTATTTGAGGTAGTAATGCTACCGTTACTGTTGATGACCTGCTTACAGTGTAAACAATTGAGCGTTCTCTGTTAGGTTTATCAAAACTGTGACCTGACTTAACCGCTGGCAATAACTCGTATGAAAGGAGAATAGAAAATGAAGACGCCCTGTCCTCTTTTTCAAATAGACGGCAAAAGGGCAAGACTGTGTAAACACAGGTGCGGATTATTTTATTAAAAATCTCGTCGCAATGTGCTAGCCGCATTGAAAGGCAGACACATGAGAGTGAGAGAGAAGAGCGACCAACAAGAGCGTGTTGAGTGACACAAACATGGGGAAGTAATCTGATACAACGAGACTACACATAATATACACATGATACTAGCAACAAATGTAATACAGACCTACAGAAACACACTAGACAGACAGACAGACAGACAGACAGACAGACAGACAGACAGACAGACAGACAGACAGACAGAGAGACAGACAGACAGCAGACAGATAGACAGACAGACAGACAGACAGAGCGATGGAGACACAGACAGAGCGATGGAGACGCAGACACGTGGTCAACACCGGCATACATCAAACGGTCGCTTTTAAGGACAAAGCGGGCTAACCCATATATCGGGGGTTTCCAGAAATCTTGATCTACACCAAAAGTGGGCATTGCCCTGCCTATAGGAGAAGTTTGGTTTCATAAGTGTGTGTATTTGTATGGTTATAGAGAAAACTCTCCTTGTCTTTCAAAGAAACTGAACAAGGGGCAAAAACTTTATCTTCGATTTTCCAAAAACAGAATTTATCGGAATAGCCCCGTTGTGCTTAAAAGCCACCAAATGGGATAGAACGTATACCGTGAGTCAATGAGTGAGTGCACGTCGTGTGTGAGCTTTGTGTGAGATTGCTATTAGTAAAAAAACAACTCGTAGACAGCTGGATAGCTAACTGGTTATAGATAGATAGATAGATAGATAGATAGATAGATAGATAGATAGATAGATAGATAGATAGATAGATAGATAGATAGATAGATAGATAGATAGATAGATAGATACACAAAGGGAAAAGGGCCTGGAAAGAGAGAAATAGACAGTGAATGTATCGTTGTATAAATTAAATGAGCCTATCAACACTGAGACAAAGACGGAGAGAGAGAGAGAGAGAGAGAGAGAGAGAGAGAGAGAGAGAGAGAGAGAGATCGTTGTTGGGGGTGTAGCTGACAGCAATTGTTTGAAAAGAAATGCAAAACTCACAAGACGAGAATTCTCAGAAGAGCCGGGTTTTACTTAACTGCAAAGACTTTGTCAACATGTCTCTATAGAACAATTGAAGAAGCAAACAGACCAAAGAAGCAGACTATACCAGTGTGCCCCCCCCCCCCCCCCACCCCCCTTAAAAATACAAACAAAAAAGCCAAAAAACCACCAACCAAACAAACACAAAAATCTCCAAAGGAAAGAGAGGGATGAAGTTTGAGATACAGAATGAGCATATCGACACACCCAGGTGGATTTGAACCAGTGTCGCACAGATCGCAGCCAAGCATGAGACTGAATAAACGATACGCCCGTCTTTTGACAGCGAAGCAAAGTTCTCAATTATATTGAATTGAATGACGTAGGACAAAAACCTTAGTCAACTGAGAACAAGTATGACAAAGAACGTCCGCTTTGTGAAAGCCGACGCAAGAATGTGAAAAATGTGAGGTACCACGAGGCGTAAATCATCTTGCAATAAAACAGGCTTAGCCAGCAGTGATAAGAAAATCTTGCATAAGGAGTTCATAGACCAGTCAGATTGGCATAGATGTTAAAAACTACAGGTCTGATTAAATATATTCTCATAACAAGACTTACTGAGGAAAAATAGACTTTGTTTAGATTTATCCTGAACAAAATACAGCCACAGCCGTATTCAGGGCAGCCGAGGATAAGTAAAAATGTTCCCTCATATGTCTACCCCTCACAGTGACGGGGCAATCAGAGTGTTGCTGTCGACATGTGGTTCCGGGAATGTACATGTATTTCGTAAAAGAATGCCAAAACAAGGAAGTGGCATACGGGTAGCCTTTGTTATCGGAAAAACTATCCTAGTAATAATGGCTGTGCAGTTTTTTGTTTGGAGATAAAACTACTTTTTAAAAAAAAGACACAATGCATATTTTCTACGATACGCTCCGTAATTTAACGTGCAATTCAAAAGTGAGCCAAAGAGAAACTGAAACCCACCAGGCCGGTCGCGTTTCTATAAAACAGGTCTGGTCGATGCTATTCATGGGTGGCTTCATATCGCTGACGCAATAAAAAAGACTCGTTTTCAACTGGAATTCTCTCCCCTCCGTTTACCCTTCTTACCCCCCCCCCCCCACCCCCCACCCCCCGGCCCGAGCCCTCCTCATATAAAGAATTACACATTTGGTCTCAGTCTTGGCGCCCCTCCTAAAAGTCGTTTGCCCCAGAATTTCATAAAGCATGCCAGGTTCAACATAACTAAAAATACCTTGCATAAATTTACATGCATTTACACTATCTTTAACACCGACGTTTTGGAGGTAGCTATCAAACAAAGGCTTGCAGAGTTTGTTTACCGACGGCTTGACATACCTGCGAAGGGTAATTTACAGGGGCCGTTTACATTACAAGCAGTTTTAACAGAGCCCGCAATTCGCTCAATTTACATGGGCGTCAACTCTTGTGAGGGCCAACGTCAGTACGATGTTTATGTCGCACCATTGTAAGCGTTTGTACAGCACTTGCATGTTTATGAGGGATACTAAGTTAATAGAGGCTTTCTTGAGGTACGCCCTATGAACTTAGTAATTTTAGTGCAACGTGGGAGTAATAAACACGCCTTTGAACGTAGGAAAGCATCAATCTTAAGAGGTGTTAGGACAGAGAAACGTAGGCCGGGAGCCATGAAAATTCCCCTGATGACAATTTAAGACTAGTCTGAACTAAGTCTGTTCATCCTGTAGACGTGTGATACGAATAGAGATAATGGTGTCATTTTAATCGACATTTCTTTCTACTTTCTTGGTCAAACTACAGCTTTGATCTTCTTCTTCTTCTTCTTCTTCTTCTTCTTCTTCTCCTCCTCCTCCTCTCTCTCTCTCTCTCTCTCTCTCTCTCTCTCTCTCTCTCAGTCTCTCTCTCCCCCCATTATGTCTCTTCCTATGGATAGGGGATAGGAGAATAAGAGAATATACAGTCTGGGTGTAAAAAATGAGAAAAGAAGTGTAAGGTGAGTTAAGGTTTCGATTTGCAGGAACGTGAATAACGAAAGAGTTGTTTCACAAAGTGACTAAAAATTAAATGGTTCGTGAGACTCTATTCGAAATCAAACATGGAACCTAGAGACATGGAAACATTAGTTTAGTTAAAGTAATTAACAACGGCACACTGGTACTTACTTGACGTTTCCGTTTTTGTCAATAGAACCATTGCGTTGAATCTCCGTCACCTGTGCAAGGCCCTCTGGAGTAACCTTGACCTTAGCCCCTAAACCGACGATACCTTTCAGGATATCCACCTGGAAAGGACTTCCTTCCACACGGCGTCCTTTAGGGTACTCCACCCGAGGGGCTCTGGGAGCAAGGGCGCTGTTTGTGACACTCCCTGAGGTTCTGGAGACAGTCACAGAGGAGAGTCTTGTACCTCCTCTATCTAGCCGAGCTGTGGAGGCGCTTAACGGTTTGATCGTCGTCAGGGGGCGTGCCGTGTAACTTCCGTGGGCGTGGTCTGTGGTGAAGGACTTTTTAAGGTCTTCCATGCGCAGTGACGATGACCCAGGCGAAACTTCAATCATGCTCTGGGGGCGCCGGGACGCCAGGACTGGGTTGGGCTGGCTTTGGAAACTGTTGATCTTGGCTCGAAAATCGGAAGATTGTTTTGCTTTTGATCTCAGAACAACACCCTGTGGCTCCGTACTCGGACTGGCCACTTGATCGTTTGCCGCCTTTTCGAATATGTTAACTGCGCTGAGAACTTTCTTTGGGGCATTTTCTGCAACTGGAGACTGTAGGCCCTGCTTTGCTTCTATACTGACTGGAGAATGTGGCCCTTCTTCAGAAACAATGATAGACGTTTCTTTTTCCTGTACCGCTGAAGGGAGATTTTCTGTTTTCTGTTGCACATCAACGATATTTTTCGTCACGTTTACAAGCCTTGCAGTGACTGGAGCATCCAACTTCTCTTGTAAATCATTGGTCAAAGGTGCCACTATCTTTACTTCCGAAGAAACTATCTCTTCTGACTTCTGCACTGAAATAAGGGAAGATTCATCCGCCTTTTCTTTATCTACAGAGGCAGTTGTCTGAACAGGTTGTATGAAGACAGGAGAGGCATGAACCTGTTCAACCACAGAAGCGACTAAGTCGTTCTCAGTAACTCTTTTTGCCACACTCTCAATGTTACCAAGTGTTGAGTCTTTCGTTGTGTTCTCATTCTCAACGCTGTCAGTCTGATCACTGTCAATATTCTTGCTAGTTACATCTGCCAAGTCCTCATCTCTGCTTTGAGAATTAATGAATCCAGAGACAGCCTTTTGGAACACTGAAGTGGTGGTCTTTTGTTGAGGATCAACGTTACTCCATGAGCCGAGAACATTTGTTACCATTTCTTTTTGATCTCTGTTAAGAACAGTCGGAACGATTTCATCTTCCATACCTTTCTCCTCTGCGCTAACTTGTCTCACAGGTTTGCGAACTGAGAGATCTGGAGCTGGTGTGCTAAACGAACCCAAAACTTTAGCCAGCTCAAGCTTAGCATCATTGTTCAGAGTCCTTGGTTTCACTGCTGGCCTCTGGGTGTCAGCAGAAGATGGCACACAGAATGTTTTGCCAAGAGCATCCCGAGTAACGGACATGGGCTGTATGGTGTCATCCGCATCTTGGCCACTATTGCTGACCCCAAGAGTAGTGTGGGCAACTGCGTTGTCTGGAACTTTCTGAAAGACCTCCGTGACGGCTCTCTGGAAGGGCGAAGGTTTCTTGCTGCTCTGGGGCTGTTCCGAGTTCTGCGTAGAGCTTTGCTCTGGTTGCCCGCCCCAAACATTAAGCACATCCCGTGCCATTTCTTTTTGGTCTCGGGACAACACGGTGGGAACAATCTCTGGTTCTGAAATACCTTCCCCCTCTACCTTTGCAAGGTGTACAGGCGCCGCCGCCACGGTGGGAGCTTTGTTAGGACTTTTGTCAACCAAAGACGCCAACACATTAGCTAAATCGTGTTTAGCAACGTCATCGATGGACCTGACAGCAGGGGGTCCCCTCTGCTCCATAGACGCAGGCATACACAGCACCTTGCCCTGGGCATCTTTAGAAGCCTGCATAGGTTCTATGACCTCATCCTCCTCCTGGCCGTTGGTGATGACACCTTGTGTGGTCAATACTTGACCCTGCGTAGCTGCTTTCACGGCTGTCTTTTGATACGAGGACTGGTCGAGGGTTGCGTTTGTGAGGCAGTTCTGGTCTGTGGATGGACTCGGCAGATCAGGAGGAGGTCCATTTGGTATAGGAGGCGGGGCCGAGTCCGGTAGTGGAGGTGTTGACGATTCATCAGAGGGCGGTCCCTCGAACGCTGGGGGTGGGGCAAGCGATGCGCTCTCGGTCGTGGCTGGTGGGAATGGGGCTTGGTCGCTCATAGCTGTCTCTAGCACTGGCTGACTGTCCACACGTATTGTAGCCAAATTGCCAGAGTCTGTGGAGAAGATCACTCCAGAAGGATTTGGTTGTGTAGTAGGTGTTGGGGGTAACGACCTGCCCTTGGTGTCATTGTTCCGTCGTGCAGTTACGTTGATAGTTGTTACACTGGCTGTGCCAGCTGCGTTGACACTGATGTTAGTGGAGTGAAACTTTTGAACACTTTCGCTTTTCTCCGGCTCGGAAGAACCCACTGACGGAGACGTCGAGCTCTGCTGAGCAGCTGAACTTGGTGGTGATGAAACGGGAATGTATGTAACGTGCTTGCTAGGAGACGAAGGCGAAACTGGCACCAGCGTAACGTGAGCTGCTTGTGAGGTCTCAACTTTATCCGATTCCAACAAACTCTGAGGGGGGTTTTCTTCAAAGTAACCACCACCTGAACTTTGTGAATTGGACAGCTTTTCGGAATCGCTCACAATACTATTAAAGCATTCCTCCGCAAACTCCTCGAGAGTTCTACCACTGAACTCGTTGTCGTTCAAGAAATTGTAAGAAGGATCCTGAGGACCAGAGCTCTCCTCAACAGTGCTGCTATCGCCGAAGTCTATCAACAGAGAATCCTGTGTGGAGTCTGAGGGAGGGGTGTACGTGTTCTCTGCAGCTGTTTCGGCGTAGTCATCAGAGTCCTTCACGGGGCCCAACAGATCGTCTATGTACGTCACACAATCAGATCTGTCCGACTCAGGAGTAGCTTGCTGGAAATTGATACTCAAATCACCAAATTCACTCGGAGGTGGTATGGGTGCACTATCAACCTCGGAAGATCCAAGGGAGAAAAATACGTCGTCGTTATTTTGGTTTAATAAATTCACTTCTGTGGTGTTATCAATATCCCGGGCTTTGTCAACGTCCCATCTAACCTCTTCCTGATTGCTGGGAAATTTAGGATCCAATAGAGACTGAACCAGCTCAGAATTCGAATCTGTCACTTCAGCAGCTCTCTCAGAACCATACCCAAATTCTACACCACCGAGAAGATTCTCGTTTGGTGTCACTAGGTCTTTGTTATCTTGGACATCAGCGTCTTGTTCTCCCTCCGCCTGCCTCAATATGATCAGCTCAGTCACATGACCGGAACTTTTGAGAACATGCAGACACTGCGCCTGTGTCAAGGCGCGAAGACTGAGTCCGTTACAGAACAGCAGACGATCACCTTCCTCCAGATGACCACTCCGTGCACACGCACCTTCCGGAAGGAGTCTTTTTACCTGTGAAAAAGGGAGAAAAAGCCGCAGTGAACAACAGCGATAATGATTATTATCTGAACAATAATGATGGTAAGCTCTACGAGCTTTACAATAAGACTATAGCTACTTTTTACTACAAGCAACCTAGGTATCCGAAGAGTCACTGTCAGGTGGTTGTTAGCAATGCACTAAAGAAAAGAAAATTGGTATAACACAGGACACACAGTATTTTCAGAAACAACAGTAGAATGCAAATAGGAAAGAAGGATCAATCATTCATCCACGAGCTGGATTATGATAACTATTTTTAGGTGGGGGGGGGGGGGGATTTTGTTTTGGCCACAGACGTAAAAAACCCCGGATATTTCTAGTTTTGTTTGAGTAACAAGAACAAAAAAGCACATGACAAAGGCCATTTATTTTTAGGAAAAAAAAACAAAAACAAAACACAATAGACAGACATTATAAGGGCAGAGAAAAGAAGTAGCCTACAATTTACCACTGAAGCCCCTAAATACCAGAAATTAGCGCTCAAAAAAGTTGTCGGTTCAAAGACAACAGAGGTACACTGCATTTAAAATGAAATCATAAATTAGAACCTAAAGGGGGAAAAAACCGCAAAAAAATGAGGAGTCCAAACGTAATTGCACAAAACTATTTTTGAGACTTATTCTTACTGTTGTTTTCTTTCTTTTTTTCTTTCCTTTTTTGTGGTAAGTCTTTTATTGCACTCGCAACTGCACAAGGTCATATGGGCGCGCTGTTGTTGTTTTAACTTTTCCTGTTGATGCCAAGTCAGCAAAATAACGACTACATTTCGCACAACGAATTGGTTGGAACAATAAAAAACATGTAAGGGGAGAACAGAGTAAACCACACAGGTGTGCCCACAAACAACTCGCGGGAAACCTTTAATGAAAACATAACAGGGCTTGTGTCGAAGAAAATAAACTTTGATAGACATTTGCTTAAATCGTTGGTAAATAATTTTGCATTAGTTACGTTAACTTTTAACATATAGTGTGTTTACTATTATCTTAAAGGAAACATATTACGAGCTATAAGTATCAGACGCACGCAACAACAATACAAGTGGGTATGACAACCGAAATTTATGGGTCTAGAAACCTTGAAAGGGGCTGAAAGTGGAGCCGCGGGGTGTAAATTATCTCACAACGTCATGTCGATCCCTGCAAACATGGCCACGTTAAGCCAGTGAAATTACACAAAATCAAATATAGTCGAACCTGCCCAAACAACTATACCTGTATATTATGACAATCGCCTATAAGAAAAGGTCTCTTCCCATGCCCCTTGCGTTTTTCTAACCTAATGATGACACTGAGTAAACGCTATGTCTAAGACTGCCATGTTTCTCCAAGACAATGTGTGGCTGTCTTTGACAATTTCTTTGCTTATACAAGGATTATAAACAAGGTGGTAACACAATTTAAGACAGTAGGCCGGAGCAAGATTTCGAACTGCATTGTCACTTGTGCAATCTTTTGATAAGACTAAAAATAAAAACTCGTTCTCCGCAATGACTGTGCATCTTTTTCAGTGTGTCGCCGATAAAAAGTCCTAATATCATCTTTTAAAAAATGACAACAACTACAAGTATTCGGTTGTAACGATATATACATATATAAAACAATATTAAAGACAAAACAAAAGTAATAAAAATAAGAATGATATTGCTAATAATAATAATAATAATAATAATGATACGACACAAAATAACTGTAGGCCTAACAATAAACATGCCCTTACAACGGGTTTCACAAGATCCAACAGCAGTCACACCACCCGTCCCCATCCACACGAAGACATCTACTCTCAGCGTGCATTGAACAAACACCATTCTTTCGCTCGAACCAAATAACTGTCCACTCGATCAACACGGCGCATTTCATACGAGTACCCTGTGATAGACAGTGACATAACACAGTTCGAAAAATGCCTAGCTCAACTCAACTGATAAAGAACTGCGGCCGACGCCTGTGTGCGATGTCGGGTCTGATATAAAAGCTGACAATGTGTTAAGGCCTTCGGGGTGGGCATAAAGCTCTGTGTACACAGCTTCAGGCTCGTGATCAATAGGCGGAAACATTCCGACCAAGGTGGAAGGCACAGGACAGACAGAAGTGGCTCGGGAGAAGGGGATTTCACAGACATGAGCAGAGGAGGGACGGGCGTCCGATCGAGTTGAGGACCCGTGGCTGCGGACCCGGTGCCACACTTAGGCCTTGGATGTCCAGCTCTAAACTAAATTTAGCAGACCATGTAGCGAACTCGTGTGTTTTCTTTGGGGCTTAAGCCATGACGTTAGTCTCTAACACAAACGATTAACTCTCATAGTGTTGTGACAGCACGAGTGTCCACCACCACACTGTCGGTTCCTCGTGTCTCCTTATAAAAAAATAAGTAAGAGTTTTATAGTACTTCCAACAGAATGAGGTCATATAAATGCCGATAGTTTCTTTGTTTGAGTAGGTATTTTACGGTACTATCGACTTATAAATGGCGAAGATTAAAGGTGCTACAAAAGAGTAACAAACCAACAAAAAAGATGGAGGGGAGATCAGGGCGATAGGTGTTTGATAGGAGAGAAGGAACAAACCACACCAGAGCACCTGCTAACCGCCAATCTCATGTCTCCCTAAGTGTCTCTCTCTATTTTCTTTCTAATACAGGCTTCTATCTAAAAGGCTAGCAAGAAACACGTAAATGTAATATTCAGATGAAGTTGAAATATTGCCCTGATGCCATCCAGATATGAAAATGCCAAGCAGGGAAACAACGGGAAATATATTATAAAAGACTAAATGAGGAAACACAGGTCTCCCAACACACCCATCCGACCCCCCCACCCCCCCAAATATCAGCTATCACAACTAAACAAGTCTATTCCTAAAAGATTTAAATTAGGGAACTCAGCATGATGATGGCTACACCGCCCCCAGATAGACTACGACATACAAAAGATTGAAAACAAAAGGAACGAAAATGCAAGAAAGACTGTCCACCAATGATCCACGCTTGACAAGATGGTAAAGATTAGGACTATTCAAATGGTGTCTCATGGCACGCACACAGCTGTGATATTTAGTCAAACAAAACAGGACAACAAGAAACGGGCACTGGAAACGGTACTGAGCACTGAACTATGAGCAAACATTTGATGAAGGACACAATTCACAGCGTCTTCAAAGTGACAAGCGTGCCCTATCGCTTTCCATTGTCCATTATGTGGTCGGCAGATTCTCTCACCATGAAATAAATAAACTTGGTAAGGGATCAAGGTTCCGAGAAATAACGACAACCCTATTTCTGCTAACCCTCCCAAATTACCCCCCACCCCCCACCTAATCTCTCTCTCTCTCTCTCTCTCTCTCTCTCTCTGTATATTCATCCGTATCACACGCAAACGCACGCACACAAAAAAAGCGCGAGCACACACACCCTCAAATTAAGGGCTGAGTAAATTATATGCAAATCAACCCGTCTCGTAGGTGTGTGTCTTTAATAAAGGAGAGCACAGCATGTTTGGTCGGTGTGGCTGAGTTCAGAAAGGTAATCATACTCTGACCAAACCTTAAGACCTCCAAAATTATATGGTATATACAATTTTTGATTAAGGTCAAGTAAAACGTAAAAACATCATGGGAACGAAAGCAACGGCAACAATAAACTAGAAAAAGACTACTATTATAACCTACAAAATTGTGTCTGTCACAGGTACTGTTCCATAGAGGAAAGAACAATCTAAATGGTGAGTTTTGTTCAGACCTCGCAGCAGTTCTGTTAAACCTACGCTTAGAAAAAAATTATCCACACCAAATCCTTGAATAACAGTCAGTGAAGATCAAAATTCAACCGCAGAAGACAGCGACAAATTTTCCACAGCTGAGGCTCTGGGAGGAAACGTACGTTCTCCAGCGTGCTACGGTCAATAATTCTTATTGTGTTCATTGTCTACGGCGAGATTTCCATGAACAAAGGCAAAGCGTGAATAGACTCCAGAACGAGACTTCCCCCAAACGCCCAGGCGCTATCGATGGCCAACTGACCAGTCGTTGACCGATACAAGCTCATGGCCCCTGACCTGACGCCAGAACCAGACAAGTGGACATGGGGAAGAAACCCAGGAACAGAACAGAGAGAGCGCAGTTGTCGAATGAGGGTACTGGAAGTGAAATGCCCACTGGAGCCCCACTTCTACCAAACACACAGAGACTCAATAATTTACTCGTAT